ACTGGTATCAGCCAACTCTAGCACACCATTTATCACGCACGAGCAAGATCTTCAGTTTTCTTTAGTGTTGTATACATCTCTCTCCCACTGGATTGCGAATTTCCTGACGGTGGGGACTATTCATCTTTATAACCTTAGCTTCTAACAACGTCTAGCCTATTATAGATACTCAATAAAAATGTTTATTAAATTAATGTGTTTGGAATTTAAAAAAATTTTAGCACACCATTTATCACGCACGAGCAAGATCTTCAGTTTTCTTTAGTGTTGTATACATCTCTCTCCCACTGGATTGCGAATTTCCTGACGGTGGGGACTATTCATCTTTATAACCTTAGCTTCTAACAACGTCTAGCCTATTATAGATACTCAATAAAAATGTTTATTAAATTAATGTGTTTGGAATTTAAAAAAATTTTTTTTGTGTCTTAAAAGTGCCTTTATGACAAAGATTCCTGAGAACTATTCAGGAAAATGGAAACAAATACCGAATTGTGAAAATGTCACAACTACCCAGTGTGTCTTTCCCCAAAATGTTTTCCCAAAAGGAATTTACTTTATCCGTGTCAAAGCATCTGATGGAAATAACACATCCTTTTGGTCTGAAGAGGAAAAATTTGATACTGACAGACAAAGTAAGCCAATAGTTTTTACTTTAGATTATAATTCTTCAGTTTGGTACAGATTCTTAAAATTGTTTTTCTAATCTAAGTTTAACACTGACTTTTCACATTTCTTCCAGTTGTCATACTTCCTCCAGTCATCGACATGAAGCCCATTAACAACAACTCGCTGCGGGTCTGTTTCGGCACCCCAAAAGGCTCTCAGAACAAGTCCGTGAACCAGCATTTCCCACTAATTTATGAAATTTGGTTTTGGGAAAACATTTCAAATGCTGAGGTAAAAAGACTAGGTAGTATAATTTGGAAGTTATAATTGGGTAAAAAAAAAAAAGGCTCGAAGTTAAAATTTTAGAGAAATTTGTTAAATTTTAAAAAAATGCCGATTAATTCAGATATTCACAATATGAAAAATATTAGCATTTTTCCCTGTTTGCAGGGCAGAGTTATGGATCACCTGCATCTGGGCCCCCAGTAGCTTTCAGAATTGAGATCCCCGAGCCCATTCCTACTCAGTCAGAATCTCGAGGGTAGAACTCAGGAGTGTGCATTACACGATTCCCCAGCATTCACCTAACCAACTCTCTCTCAGCACTCCCCCATAGCCGTGACCCCCAAAACCACCTCCAGACACGCCACACACCCCCGGGGCAGGGCACCTCCAAGCGGGCAAAAAGTGGTTCTTAGGGGGCCAGTCTTAGATTGAATATTGAAAGAATTCAGAAAAGAGATATTTCCTGATTTTATGAAGTGACTAAATTTTATTAATGATATACTTATTTTTTCATAGAGTAAAATTGTAAAGGAAAGAGCTGATTTTACTTTTCCCAACTTGAAACCGCTGACTGTATATTGTATCAAAGCCAGAGCACTGATCGAGACTGCAAAGTGGAATAAAAGCAGTGTTTTCAGTGATACTGTGTGCGAGAAAACAAAACCAGGTCAGAACGTTTCATTATGTCTTTTCCAAAAAATGTAACTAGACTTAAAAATAAATCAAGTCATTGAAAATTGTAAAATACTTCCTTTTTACTGAAAAAATATAGAGAGAATATTTTTTCATGAACTATATGAATTTAAAAAGTATACCTTCAAGCTGTCATTCAGTTTTAGAAAATAGCATTACAGCTCCACTGAATTTAGTGTTTTTGAATGCTTTATATTTCATCCAATATCTGCATAATTAGTTTCCTGTAATTGTTGTGTTTTTTAGTATTAAATAAGACTTTTAACTTTTTTACATAATCCTTAATATAATTACCATGTAGAAATCACTTAATTCAGTTGTGAATTTTTTTGTGTGTGGGAAAGACTTAACTTTCCTGTAATTTTTTAGTATTAAATAATTTTTATGTAATCCTTAATATAATTACCATGTAGAAATCACTTAATTAGTTCAGTTGTGAATTTTTTTTTTATGTGAGAAAGGCTTATCCCCATTCCGTGTTTCAGTTTCTAGTGTAGCCTGTAGATGCTTAGTCACAGAATGTCTTACATTGTGCCAGCTGCATATTATAGAAGTGCTGGAGAGTACTGTGTATGTTTGGAGCTGTGTGCCAGTATCGTATCCTTCGCTGAGGATCTCTTACTTCACTTCCCAGGCCACCCTTAAAAAGTAAACGCCGTCGCCTATAGCTGTTGCTGGCTCAGTGCTGCCAGAAATATTTCTGAGGATATTATTTAATAGATTTTCATTTAATAGAGTTCCTTTCACATGGTTATACTTACTTCATACTGACTGCAAAAGTGTAACATACATATTTGCGTGTCAAAACGTATTGATGCTAAACATCACTTATTCGTTTTTAGGAACCACTTCCAAAACCTGGCTTATAACTGGAATTTGCGTCGCGTTTTTGATCCCAGTTGTTCTTTATGTTGTGAAGGTCTTCTTGAAATTTATCAATTATGTGTTCTTTCCATCAAGTAAGCCTCCTTCCACTATAGACGAGGTATGTTACTTTTCTTTGTCAGCAGCTGAATTTTTGTTAAAATGGTGGGGAAATATATTTGATTTCAATAGGATATATGTTTTCTTTAGAAAATAATTTAGACTGATTTGGGTATTTTCCTCAGAATTTTAGTAAACTAACTTTGGAAACAGTCATTTTAGTAAACTAACTTTGGGATGGTGAAGTATATCCTGAATCTCATATTTTTCTGCAGTTTGGCTACTGTGGGATTTGTTTTTACCATTGAAAGTCTTTGTATTCACAGAGTAAAACATTACCATCAGTGCAGAAATTGCATTTTATCGATGAAATCACAGAAAATAAAAGAACAAATCATGAGTTTCCTCCCATGACACCTCTCCATTTTGGTTTTTTGTTTGCTTGTTTGTTGGCACTCTTGTGAGGTCAGCGTATTTCATGAAAGCACTAAGTGATGAAGACCTAAGCACAGAATCTGCCCTGTGTGTTCGCCTAGGGCAGAGAGTATTGTTAAGAGCTCAGGCTTCAGAGACACCTGAAGGTGGGTTGTTGAGAGGCTGTAATGTATTTGCACGTATGAGCGCTGCGAACTTGAGCAAGTCTTCTTAGTGAGCTGAAGCCAGCGATGCCATCCCATAGAGTTGTAAGCAATGAAGATAAACCAGAAGGGCTTAGCCCCGTAAAACTGCTCTGTGAATATTAACTATTTTACTCTTCTGCCCGAGTTTTTAAATATCATTCCTATATTCTCTAATACTCATAGTTACTATTTAAAGAACTTATAACTAGCTAGTTACAACAGCTAATCTTAGCTGAACAGGGAAAAGTTAATTTATTGTTTGTCCTAGAAATTTGTGGATTGGGTACAAAAATTTTTATTATTTCAAAATAAAGCTTCACAGCCCCAGTGCCCTCCCCTTTCCATCCTCCCCCGTGCTCCCACGTTCCCTGCCCCTGAGAGCCCAGTGGCCCTTTCTTGGACACTCTTCATGTGCTTACCGGAAATGGTGTTAAGATGTGTGTGACCTCACTGGTGATGGTTTTATTCTAAACATTACCATGCAGGTGATAGGCTCTTAGCTGGCTTTCTAATATGCATGCCAAAAGACAGGTTTTCTAGGTCTTAAGAAACTAAAGCTGTTAGAACTAGGAAACATTTTTATTATTTTAAATAATTTGTTTCTGTTCTTTCTCTTTTTTCAATTAGTGTTTCTCCGAACAGCCGCTAAAGAATCTATTTTTTTCCACTTCTGAGGAAGAAACTGAAAGATGTTTTATAATTGAAAATATAGACACTATTTCTGTAGTAGAAGAAACTAATCAAATTGATGAAAATCACAAAATATATAATTCCCAAACCAGTCAAGATTCAGGAAACTATTCGAATGAAGACGAAAACAGTGGAAGTAAAACAAGTGAAGACTTTCTACAGGAGGAAACTGAATGAACAGAAACGAGCTCTGTTAGAGGGTTTCGTAGAAGTTATACTCGGAGCCTGAGCTCCTTGCTTCTCTCAGTAACTATCAAGAGGATATTTGCCTGTTGGAGAAGAAAAAAACATCCAATCATAGGTCCTAAAAACACAGACAACCACTTACGACAAATGAAATTACAGGAATTTGGAAAAAAGTCTTCCACATTCTTTTCCCTGTGTAATGTCTTATAAGACCTGTCGTTGGACCTGTCTTATTTAGATGAGATGAGTTAAATCCGAAAGATGCCCACTGTCGTTCTGATGACATGTGAAGTGCCACTGCTGTTTGTGGCGAAAAGTAGTATTGTGTTCGATCAGTTAATGTCACGATGCTGCTGGTTGCTGCATGTGTCATGGATTCTCCATTCCCAATATTGCTCATTATTTTTCAGAAGATATTTAGAACATTTGGTCTTTTCTTTTGATGCTAAAGCAGACCCTTAGGAAATTCTTTAGAAAAGCTGAATACCACTGCCACTGAAGAAATTTTCTGGAAAATAGCTTGCTCTAGAAAACATCTGCAGATGCCAGAAACATAGTCCTTGGGATTTGTCAGGGGAATTCTGTCAATTTGTCCCAAGAATATTGGCTCATACGTCATAGTAACCAGGTAATCTTTTACTATACATTAAGACTTCCTGATTCATAACTTATAGAATCACTTCTGATTAGAATTTGCAATCATTGAATTTATAGAAAAATGGAAAATTGTCTAATAAGAGAAGTTACTAGTTTTAAGATGTGTGAGTATGTAGATGTTAGTGACACTGTATGCAAGAAGCCTTGGTACCAGGAAATGCTACCGGTAGAAAAGACACAGACAGAAGTAGAATAATTCACTAGGAAAGAAATAGGTGACTTTAGTGAAAAATAAGAATAAGGTGTATAAGCAGCTTTTAATTATTAACATGGGATTGTTTGTTTTTATGGCTTACCTGTCATTTTTAACATGAAGCCAGCTTCTCTGCACTGTCCAGCAGTATTCCACTCTACCTGCATGTACTCAAGACAGTGCAAATTAATCAAGGTGAGGGGGAAAATCTAAGTGGGAAGAACACCTAATTTAAAAAATTATATGATGCTTTTCAAAGGCACCTATAGCTTATTTTTATACTATTTGATATTTGGGGTTATTCGTGGAGATCCTTCACAGGAAGGAAGCCTAGGAAATCTAGGGCAAAATTGTCAACTTCAGTGGTTGCCATAGTGACCAGAGAAAGAAGAAGGAGCTGCTCAGAGCATGGCGGGTCATGTGTTTACCGAGGAGTCTCCGCTGAGGTCAGTTCCATCCGGGTGGGAAAAAAGGTGAAGGCAGCTGCCTGGGGGAGGGCTGTGACACTCAGCGGGACCCTAGCATGCTCGCAGCTCTGCAGGGCCCAGCGTGCGCTTTCCTGGACTTGTGGTCCAGCCTCCTCACAGGCATCATGGGGACCAGGGAGGGTCTCCCCTTCTGAGACACAGGTCTCTGCTGGAGACTCCCTGCAGTGTCCAGAACACACTCAACCATTTGAACTTTTTGACCAGAAACGTTTAGTTTAAAGCAGACCTTCCGGGTTGGCCCTTCGTTTGGAAAGGCCTTGTCTGTGGAAATGAGCTGCTTTAAAGAGGACGTTAAGAGCGTGGCATGACACCTGCCACCACTGGCTTTCATGCAGTGCCCGTCCCGTCTAGCACACAGACTCTCGATTTACCACTGGGAAAAAGCTGCTTCAGACTGGGTATCCTAGAAAGAAACGTTCCCTGTGTGAGATGTGAAGGAGGGGAAACTCAGACGTTAAAAGAGACCAATGAAATCGTTAGGGTGCGAAGACATGGGAGCACAGGTCTTCAAGTTGTAAGACCTCCCTGGCTTTCACGGAACGTGTATTTGGCGGCAGCAGCAGCAGCAAACAGGAAAATCCTCACTTTCGCCTTGTCTTCTTCCAGACAGGAAGTGCAGTTCAAGTCCGTTCTTCCTCATGGTCCACATGTAGCTTAATCAGATGCGCTTGCTTGTAAGGTGGTCTTTTTTTGAAGAGTACTTGGAAGTACCGTGTCCTTGAGAGCCTCCACATCACACTATTGATAGTTCTTGGAGAGGCTGGGTGTAACCTAAGAATTTATGTAGAAGATCTACATCATTACAGCCAGAACTAATGTTACATTAATATGTAGTGTAGATTAATATGTGTGTCATAGTGACAGGTCTGTGAACACATCCGTGTGTGCTTACACCTACTACACATGTATGCACTTGTGATACGGGCCATGTTCCATTCGTATAGCCATGAAGTACTTAGTATAGACTCTAGTTATAAAATTAGAAATGCTGCTCAGAACTGTGAACTGTAGAGTCTGGCCAGAATTTTGTAACCTACAAAAAACTTTTAAAATACAATTTGGAATTTGTATCTTTTTTTCAGGCTGTGAGTTTTAAAGCAGCCTCAGATAACACTTAAGAATTTGAAGCATGTACAGAACCTTTACTTTCTCCGCCTTCATCCTCGTTCCCTTTGACTACCTGACATGATAGGTATTCGTTTTACCTGGTGTCTGTCTGCCCCCAGGAGACTGGGAGCCCTATGAGAGCAGGGACTTTCTTGTATTCATTACTGTGTCCCCAACAGCCGCAACAATGCGGTGCCTTCCACATAGAACATGCACCGAGAATAACAAAGGAATGAAAGACAAAAATTTGAACAAAGTAGGTGTTTCTGACAATGTGTATATGTTTACTGAGTTGTGGGAGGACATAGTGTTTTCAGTGTTTCTGTTATATCTTCTATTTCATTTGTATTTTTGTCTTAAACCCTATTGCTGTTAACAGTTTTATATAATAAACATCGGGGCCAAAAGCCTTTGATTTTGTCGTTGTGCTTGAACTTAATAAACCTCTCTGCAGCAAAGGTGCTGCAGCTGATGCCTTTACAAGGTGTTCATAACGGAGGGAGCTGATACCTGTGCCAAATGTCCCGACGTCTAGCATTGAGTCCCAAAGGAGCCACCACTGTCGCCACCGTCCATCACTTGTCCTGGACAAAGAGTCCGTTTGCTCACTCTTTTCCACAGCCCCAGCCTAAGACTTGGCTGAAGCACAGCCTTGAACCTGTGAGTTTGCAGTGGTGTTGCCTACTCTGCTCGCTTGAACTAAACTGCTTGCTTTTTACAAATACTTCTCAGAATCAGCTCCTTCTGAGGAGACTCTCCAATCCCACATGTAAATTATCCTCAACCATATAGACATTTGAATCTGAAGCTGAACACAATTGACATTCAAGTGTGAACCTTTCTATATTAGTGTTTTTAATAAGTTTCCTCCAATTTTTTCTTTTCCAAGATGGACAGGGAAGCAAACATTCATTTCTGGTGCCTAAGAAATGCTGTTCCTTCACAATAGTAACAATACCAGTAACATCCTCAAATTATCCTCAACCATATAGACATTTGAATCTGAAGCTGAACACAATTGACATTCAAGTGTGAACCTTACTATATTAGTGTTTTTAATAAGTTTCCTCCAATTTTTTCTTTTCCAAGATGGACAGGGAAGCAAACATTCATTTCTGGTGCCTAAGAAATGCTGTTCCTTCACAATAGTAACAATACCAGTAACATCCAGTTTGTCTCACTACCTTTTGTCTTGGGTTTAGGTAATCAAAGAATTACAGGTCTTGCAGGCCACGTAAATGTGTGTGGATATTTGTGATGGGATTTTTTTATTGATGTAGAAAATACAGGAATGTTATTTGAGAGAAAATGGGCAGGAAGGGGAAATTTGATTTTTCATGCAAAGGATATAGCAATTTCCTACCTTTCCTGTGGTCTGTCCCCACTTGGAACTCATGTTCTAGCAGAGGACATCATGTGAATGAAGACGCAATAATTGATGAGGATGAAGAAAACGGTGGCGTGGCTATTCTGGCTTAGAAAAAAAAGTCGGGAGGACAGAGGAAATAGAAAACTTACACCTCTCAATAGCTGGCTTAAATATTTCTCGGTGCCTCCCACTGCCCCCACCTCCTATCCTCCGCCTGAAAACTGTCTAGATCAATCAGAGAAGAAGGAGCTGAGGGGAAAGGGAATGAATAAGAAGAAAATCAAAATCATTTTCCTATCTCTCCAATAGAAAGATGGTCTGTTTTTCTAAAAGATTACAATTAGTCCTTAAATATATAACAAAAGTATAATAATACAATTTTTATACTCAATTCTCATCTATTCCCAATTTCTATAATGCTTTAATACTCCGGAGTTTTACTTATAAAAAAGATGACTCTGAATTTTATAGAATAAAGGTATGTCATCCACTCTGAAATCTTCCTAAAAGACCTCCATTTATACATGTAGAAGTTTTGTGTTCATCTGTACCTGCACGTTTGTCTAGCATGCTCCCTAAGAGAGATTTTATAGCATTTGTCTGTATGTATCTTCTGCTTGATGGCAAGCTCCATGAAAGCAAGGACTATCTTTTTTAACATTGTAGCTGACATTTGGTGTTTCATAAGTAATTAAGCGGGATATTTGAAGGTACATACATTGACTGGATTCACCACCAGAGGGAGACGAGTCGCCCTGTTTAGATTCACAATTAAGGGTATTTTAGATGCCTAAATAGCTGAGTCACAACGAAACATGAAGAGGCAGTGTGTAGCTCAAGGCTGTGTATATCCTTTAGAGTTGTTAGATTTGGCAAGTGAAAATACAGTTAAATTTGAATTTCAGATAAACGAATAATATTTTAGTATAAGTATGTCCCAAATATTGCATGGGACATACTTAAACTAAAACTTTTTGTTGTAAAATGCTTAAATATTGGCATTTTACTTGTAAAAAGATAATTATGAATTTTTAATCATAAAAGTATACCATTTTCTCTTTGAAATCTACTAAATTATCACATAAACATGTAGAAATCATCTTTGTGCCCCATCCATAATTTCAGGTAACAACAAATAACTTTTTAGTATATGTTCCTCCTTTTCCTACTGTTTTTTATCACGAGTGTCAGATTTTTATCAAATGCTTTTTCTCTGTCTACCAAGATGATCTTTTTTTTGTTGTCCTTTATTAAAATGGTATAGATTGGTTTTTGTATGCTAAACCAACCTGCATTCCTGGAGTAAATCTCACTTGATCATGATGTATAATCCTTTTTACATCTTGTTGGATTCTGTTAGCTAGAACTTTGTTGAAGATTTTCGTGTTGATATTCTAAAAGATACTGGTCTAGAGTTTTCTTCTGATGTCTGTTTTGGGTATTATGGTAATGCTAGCCTCATAGAATGAGTTGAAAACATTTATTTTTTTTTTGGAAAGAATTTGTATTGTTTTTTTTTAATTTTTGATAAAATTCACCAGTGATACCATGCTGATTGAGGCTTTTCTTTGTGAGAAGTTGGATTGGATTACTAATTCAATCTATTTACATGTTATATATCTATTTAGATTTTCTATTCTTGAATCAGTTTTTGTAGCTTGTATATTTTAAGGAATTTATCTATTTCATCTTTTTTTTTGGTTATCTATTATTTTGGCATACAGTTGTTTACGATATTCTTTTATAGTCCTTTTATGTCTGTAAGTTTGATACTAATGTCTCCTCTTTCATTCTTGACTTTATAATTTCAGTGTTTCTTTTTCTTGGCCAGTCTAGTTAAAGATTGGTTGGTTTCATTGATCTTTATTGTTTTTCTATCCTCTAATTTATTTTTCACTCTAATATTTATTATTTACTTTCTTCTGCTCTTTTTCCAGTTTTTTAAGATGGAAGTTTGGGTTATTAACTTGAGATCTTTCTCCTTTCTTAATAGAGGCGTTTAAAGCTATAAATTTCCCTCTGAGCACTGCTTTAGCTGCATCCCAGGGTTTTGGTATGTTATGTTATTCTTTTTATTCTTCTCTAAGTATTTTCTAATTTCTTTTGTGATTTCTTCTTTTACCCGTATATTGTTGATGAGCATATTGTTTAATCTCCACATGTTTATGAATGTCTCCAATTTCTTTCTGTTAATTGATTTCTAATTTTATTCTATCGTGGTCAGAGAACATACTTTGCTTGACTTCAGTCCTTTAAAATTTATTGAGACTTTTTGCATTGGCTAACATATCTATCCTGGAGAATATTCCATGTGCACTTGGGAAGAATGTGTATTCTATTGTTATTGGATGGAATGTTCTATAGATGCCTGTTAGTTCTAGTCGATTTATATATTGTTCACACCTTCTATTTCCTTGTTGATTTTCTGCCTCATTCTATCTATCATTGAATGTAGGATATTGAAGTCCTCAACTATTATTGTTGAATTGTCTATTTCTCCCTTCAATTCTTTCTGTTTTGCTTTGTGTATTTTGAGGCTCTGTTGGTACATATGTATATGTTTATAATTTTTATTTCTTCTAATGGATTCATGCTTTTGTCATTATAAAATGTCATTATCTCTGGTAAAAATTTTTGTCTTAAAAGTCTATTTTGTTTGATATTAGTTTAGCTAATCCAGCTCCTTTTTTGTTACTGTTTGCATAGTATGTCTTTTTCTATTCTATTGGTGCGGGTATTTTTTTAAAGCTCTTCAACTGATCCTGAGGTGTGATCGGGGTTGAGAATCACCAGAACAAGCACTTTAAGCTAGAAGAGCAAAACAGACAATCTTTTGTCACCAAATCTGTTTATTTAGCAGAATGTTTCACAAACTTGAGAAACGTTGGGACCCCTTTAAAGGAAAAAGTTTCTTGGCACCTCTCAATGTTGGCAAAAAATTTTTATTATACTATTTCTTAAATATGTGTGAATTTAAAACTAGATATAATCTTCGGTTTGTAGCTATCATACAACCATAAAACCAAATCAAATTTATAGATGAATTATAATCAAAGCTGCAAAACAATAAAATTAAAGCAAAATAATATTATTTTGTTGAAGTTAAATTACCACTGGCATAACGAATCTGGTCAGAGTAAAGGTTCTTTTGCGTTCAGCATGGCTTATCAATGATGCTCCCTGCAATGAACTGATTTAGCCATTACTTTTTTTCAATCAGACTATGATGAATCTCTAATTGTATAGTACATTGTTAGTATCATTTGACCATGTTTGGATGAAATAGATAACATTAAAAGCTATCTTTGTTTATGTCCTAGTACGTGGAAATTATCAAAATAATTCTGCTATGCCCCAAGGAGATCCTACACACAAATACACAATAGGTTCATTCTGATGATTACAGAATGTGCCTATATTTATTCTTTAAAGAATACCATTAAAAGTGAAAGCAGATTTTTAAACTTTGGAAGAAAGTATACCGCACAAATAAATCTGAAATTTGAAAAAACGCTGGCTTGGAACTTTAATGCTGTGCCTCGGCCCTTTCCAAATGACTTTTGATAAGATAAAATAGCCCTTTTATCAGATGAAAAAAAAAAAAACTTTGCCCAAAATTATAGGCAAATTAGTTTGTTAGGTATACTCTAAAAACCTTTAAAATTTCTTCTCGACAAACCAAGAAACTGAATATCTATACACATTTTACTTGGAGGGTTTATTTTTGGCCAACTTTTATGTTACTGAAAATTACATCTCAAAGACAGTATGTTCAGAGTTATGTTAAGACTTTGCGATGTCTACTGAACCTGCTGACTGCACATCATGTTAAGAGAATGTGAAATAGCTTTCTAATGGAGTAGAAACATAAGTCAGAACCTTAATTTTCACCATCTGGCACTTCTTTCTCCCAATCACACAGCACATCTATAGTTCAGTCACTCCCCTAGAAAGCTCAACCTGAAAAGAATCACACTCTATCTTGTCTAAGCATGGTCAAGGGCATGACAAGGTATCGGAGAGAGTTCATCTGATGATCTACTTTTCTGAA